TTTTTGTGTGTGTGTGTGTGTCTTGTTTTAAAAGGAATGCTGTCTGTCTGGGCCTCACCTTTCATTACAACAGAGCCTTGTAACCAATTGCGTTTCAAAACCTTATATCTGGAAGACTTATCAGGGCTTTGGCCTTGAAAGGAATGTCTTCCTCCTGATGTTTGCTAAGCAAATGATGTGTGAAGGAGTGTAATCTCTCTTGCAGTGGCAAAGGAACACACGCTCTGTGTTTGTTTCCGTCTTTGGTCTATTAATTTCTTGTCAAAGGGGTTGTATTTTTGTATCTTTCATGTGTACATATAAATATTTTTATAGGGAATGAAAAAGACTCGAGTAGACGCAAAAAAAATTGGTCCTCTTAAATTGGCTGCCCTAAATGGACTCTCCCTGTCTCGACTGCCTCTGCCTGATGAAGGGAAGGAAGTACCTGCCAGAGCAACGAATGACGAAAGGGTACGTGTGGGCCGCGTGGGGCTGTGTGCCTTCCTGGGGACGAGTGGCAGATACTACAGAAATACCTTTGTGAGATTTTGGTGAATTTTCTAACACGATGTAATAATCATAAATGGGTATTAAGGAATTTTATAATGTGGGCCTCAAAATCGAGGCAAGTGTATAGCTAATGTCCTAACTGATAATTTCAGTCTTGAATGTTGATTAATTTTTTGTTTCCGAATATTCTTCTTTACCTTCTTATGAGTATACATAGGAAAGGAATGGCTGCTTTCATTCCAGACAGCAGTTACTAAATTTTTCAAAGCTTCCCTTGTGACTGAGATGTATTTTCTGTAAGGGTTTCTCAAAAGCACACAGGCATGAATTTGTTTTACAGCTGGGTCCTGGAGGCAGTTTCCCATATTTCCTACCACTTTCAGTCTTTCGTATGTCATACATTATAAATCGAAGCATTTGTTCAAAGATGCTGGAATTGATTATCCTTCCTATAGATTTACTGTTCTCTAGGAGAATTCTGTTTGTTATAGGTTGCAAAATTGACCACAGATTTAGAGACGAATTGGACAAATTGCTTTAGGACAATTTTTAACCTTAAACAAAATTTTGCAACATAGTTCTCACCAACAAAATTATGTCTTTGTTCTTTTAAATCGTATCGTTGTGGCTTGTTAACATTTAACTTTGGTTTCACCTAGAATTTTCAATATCAGATAATGAATGCTAGACTTGAAGCAGAAAACAAGATTTCAAACGTGCCATCAAAATACAGCTGTGCCGTGTGGCTATCCTCATATCATTCCACATATTCTCTTTTATAGTGTAAAATTCTGGAACAACGGTTAGAACAGGGAATGGTATTCACAGAATATGAAAGAATTCTTAAAAAACGGCTAGTTGACGGTGAGTGCGCAACAGCACGACTCCCTGAAAATGCAGAAAGAAATCGATTCCAAGATGTTCTTCCCTATGATGATGCTAGAGTGGAGTTGGTCCCAACTAAAGAAAACAACACTGGTTACATCAATGCTTCGCATATTAAGGTAGGAGGAAAGTATAGAGTAATAAGCAAGACGTGCAGTTTTGATAAGTTACGAGAATGGTACGAATTGTATTCATGTCTGTTTAGAATACAGACATTTTAAAATTTGTTCGTTTTTATTCATTTATTTTTTTAATAAACACCCTAGTTTTGAGCCATTGTGATAAACTGTATTATACCTGGGAAATCCATACACCAGTGCTAAAGAGTTTCTCTGACAGAGCCAGGGTCATGTCTACTCTTTCCATGTGGTAAATCCCTCTGCCCCCAACACTGTCATCAGGGCTCAGGGAGCACTTATTTGCCTGGCTTTAGAACTTTGTCCCTCTATATCTGAAGGAACTCTTTCTGGCTCTCAGGAGCCATAAATTGTTAGTTTTGCCTTATCACATACTTATATGCCTTTTTATGTAACAAAAATTTCTGGGCATTTTTTGATGGTGTTCACAAAGGTTTTTACTTATGAAGGTACCATCTGGTTCTCTTTGTATATTCCCTGTAATCATTTTTAAATATCATTTTGTTCTTTGAAGCAGCACTTTTTTCCTGGAAACAGTGTAATGCCATTTAACTGGAGTAATGTTTATGGTGAGAGATAGGGGGCTGGTTTCATTTTTCTGTATATGGATATCCAGTTTTCCCAACACCATTAATTTAAGAGGCTGTCGTTTCCCCAATGTACATTCTTGGCATCTTAACTGGGGTTAAGTTAACACCCATTAAAATGGAGAAGTGATGATTTACAACAGGTGTTTGAGTAAAGCCAGATGTTCTCTCTTCTCCATCATTGTACCCCTTGTTCATGCTGGCTAGATGCAATTCTTCATTTTGGGGAAGGAGAAATCTTATAGTGGGTAAATGTCTGTGGACAGGTGTTTTTCTTCTTTCCTACATTTTCTCTGGTTTGCAAGTAATATTTGGTAAGAGAACAATCTGATACCTGAGGCTTTCTGAAGACCTGGCAGTCTGCCTATGAATGCCAGTACTCCTTGATGGTTTTGGGAATTTATGCATGTTCCATTCTGTTTTTTAATATGGACATAATTTATTTAAAAACCAAGCATTTCTTTGGAGTAACTCACCCAGTCTCCATGTCTGGATGGAGAAGAATTGAATAACACTGTAGTTCTATAGTGATATTTCAAAATCTTCAGAAGCAACCTGACAAATAGTGGAAAGAGTATGAGTTTCAGAATTGGATGGGGTCTGACTCTTAGGTCTACCACAGACCAGTTGTAGGACCTCATTTTACTTACCTCTAAATAAAGAAATGGTGATACCTACCCCATAGGCTTCCCTTTAGACCTTTCCTCACTAGTACTTGTTTGCTGTTAATCACCTGGTATCCACCTACAGTGTCTGCCACTAAGTGGGTGCTCAGTGAGAGGATATGGAGCCGTGACTGGGAGGCTAGCAGCCCTGAGGGAGAGTGTGTATGGAACAGGGCTTGGCTATTATGGAGAGTGATCTTAACTCAGAAGTCTAGAGATGAGGCTGGGTGCTGTGTCTCATGCCTGTAATCATAGCACTTTGGGATGCCAAGGCCGGAGGATTGCTTGGGGCCAGAAGTTTGAGACCAGCCTGGGCAACATAGCGAGACCCCATCTCTACAAAAAAAAATTTTTTTTTTTGATTAGCTGGGTGTGGTGGTGGCATGCCTACCGTCCCAGCTACTCAGGAGGTTGAGGTGGGAGGAGTGCTTGTCACTATTGATTGTGCCATTGCACTCCACCCTCTTAAAAAAAAAAAAAAGTTTAGAGATGAGAGACTACCTTAGATAGGAAGATACACTTCTTTTTCTAGAAATCTGACATTAGCTTAGGTTTTTAGCTTAATTGCTAAGCTTTTTTCCAACATGCTTAGTATTTCATGAGGGGAAACGGTTTAAAATTTGGGGTACAATGATGTTGATATTATTTTTATAAGAAGAGGAGCAATAGCAGCAACAACAGCTACTCACTGAGTACTTATTTGCCAGGCACTGTTTATATTGACTCAAATACAACAGCCCTTAAGGGCAGGCAATATTTTTATAAATGAGAAGTGAGATTCAAAGAGGTTCAGCTGATTGCCATAGTTACGTAGATATTATGTGTATTCACTGAACATAAATTTATAAAGATGTCAGTAATGGACGTTACATTGACAAGGGAAAAGATTAAGATAAAAATCCTTCCTTATTTTGCTGAATAGTTTACTTTTGTAGTACTACCATGAATACATACATACCTATATCATATACACACATAGCAATTTTTTAACCTTTCCTAATTTCAGGTCTCTGTCAGTGGGATCGAGTGGGATTACATTGCCACACAAGGACCATTACAGAATACCTGTCAGGATTTTTGGCAGATGGTATGGGAACAGGGAATTGCAATTATAGCAATGGTGACAGCAGAAGAGGTACGTACTTGTTTCTCTTAATTGATTTTCCTCAGCTTTCGAAGAACAGTTACTATAATCACCTAGAATCCTGACCTTTAGAGAAAAAGGCAGGGCAGGGTTCCAGTCTGAGTTTGAGATGCTGTCTGTGTGAAACGGCAGTGCTGCTGGCGCTTGTGGTGTTTAATTGTACTTGTCTTTACCAGGAGGGTGGAAGGGAGAAGAGCTTTAGGTATTGGCCACGACTTGGTTCCAGGCACAACACCGTCACCTATGGAAGGTTCAAGATCACAACGCGGTTCCGCACAGACTCTGGTTGCTATGCCACTACAGGCTTGAAAATGAAGCACCTTCTCACGGGGCAGGAGAGGACAGTGTGGCATCTGCAGTACACAGATTGGCCTGAGCATGGCTGTCCAGAAGACATCAAGGGGTTTTTGTGTGAGTGTCTTTGTTCCCAGGACAGCCTCAACTGAGTTGTCGATTTGATACGCTTTAATCCCTGAGTATTTTTCTATTTCATTGATTTTTCACAGCATACCTGGAAGAGATCCAGTCTGTTCGACGCCATACAAATAGCACAAGTGAACCCAAAAGCCCCAACCCTCCGTTGCTGGTCCACTGCAGTGCTGGAGTAGGAAGGACTGGCGTCGTCATTTTGTCAGAGATCATGATTGCCTGTCTGGAACACAATGAGGTGATGACTCTTATGCTAAGCCTGACCTTTTTTGGTGGGAATAAGGCTGGGGAAGAGAGGGAAGTTATGACCTAATAGCTCTTTTTGAACACATTTTCTTGGACTGTGGAGGCCTCAAGATGTTATTAAGTGCTTCTTGCAAAAGGTTGTATCTTCTTAGAGATTCTCAGTACCTATTAGCATATTAAATACCATGAGAAGTCATATAATAAATAAAGCTGTTTAATCTGTTTTACCCAGTGTTTTTCAAAGTTGAGGTCATTACCCATTTTTCCTGGAATAACTATTAACTTTTCAAGGATGGTTAGCATGGTAGCCCTGTCTGGGACGTACTGAGCTGACACTGACAGCACTTAGCACACTGTGTTTTTGTTGAATCTTGGGATTTGGTGAGATGTGGTCATTTACATCCCACCAGACAAAGCCAAGGAGCTACACCCAGGGAATTTTGAAGAAATAGTCCACATGGTCCTCCTATTTATGGTTAAAACTAATCAGAAGTAGGCAATCACAGGTTATTTATAGAAGATGCTAAGGTAGAAAAGACACTGTCTGCTAATCAGATTTCTGCTGGGACACCAGCTTTCCCCGGTCCTGTCTCTCCCCAGGGGAGCGCATTACCTTCATCCCGGTTTCTCTCATCCTAGGTGCTGGACATCCCGAGAGTGCTGGACATGCTGAGGCAGCAGAGGATGATGCTGGTGCAGACCCTCTGCCAGTACACGTTTGTGTACAGAGTTCTCATTCAGTTCCTGAAAAGCTCCAGGCTCATCTAAGCTCCCACACTTGTTCTGGGGACCTAATCATGTGAAGCGTTTACAGCTAAAAAAGAAAAAAGCAGTGCTTGCCTAACTCATACTTGCCCAATTCACACTCGCTGCCCCTCGACACTTGATCAGGCAACGCTACATCGGGACGTAAATGGCGCAGTGTGAATGGCAGCGCACTGAAGGAAATCTGCAAAGCACGAGGCCGGAGAGGGGGTTTCTGGCCTGGGAGAGGTGCTGAAGGAGGACTTGGTTTCGAGGCCCTTGTCCTGCTCTGGTCTGTCCGATTTGCAATACTTGCACACGTTTTGGAGATTGTATTTTGTACACAATTCTCTATTTTACTGAAGCTATGCTGGGCAATTCTGGCAATCATTAAAACGCATAGATTTCTATCTTAAACTAGTTTTTGATAATGGAATTTTATTTTATGACTAAAATATTTAGGGATTTTCTTAGCGAGAAACCGAACTTTCCATGGGGATGATCCACAAATATGAGTGGTTCCTGTCTAACTTTGTATTTAAAACCATGTTATTATCTTTTGTTATTTTTAAAAAACCTTGGGTACTTAATGGTTTGTTACCAAACTGAAAACTGTAAGGAGATTCTACAAGTGTTATTTTGAAACATGGAAAGCATTTTTATATCCAGAAATTTTTTTTATCCTAAAAATTCTATATAGTTGTACCTTCAATATTTTTCACACAGGAGCTCAACTCATTTAGGTACTGAAATGAGTCAGTTAATGTAAAGGAAAGTTGGGAATGAAGGCACATTATTTAAAATGTGAGAAAATAATCAAATTCACTATTGTTTCAGTATTATTCATAAAGCTAAATGAGTTTGATTTATTGGTTGAAAATGAAGTGATGAAAAACAATTGCCTAGGGTGGTTTCAAGCACTTTTTTGTTGAAAACAAATATGAGTTTTAATATATGTGTTGCTTTATAGATGAAACAACAATGGACGTTATTTCAGGAGTATTTTGGATGAGATAAGGATTAAGAGTATGTGAGATGAGTAGGACAAGAGTAAGTGGAGAGTGATGGTAAATGCAGGGTGCCTCTGTCTTTACAAAAATGCAGTATTGTCTATACTCAGACTGAGGTGCTAGGATAGAGAGTAGGGCTGAGGAGGGTGGGGGCCGACCCTACAGCACTGTCCCCGGGGAATGCAAGGCCTGTCATTGTCAGTGACTTTTTGTTTCCTGGAATTTCTTCCACCTAAATCTGTATTATTTTTTTTCATACATAAGTTCAGGTTTATATTATCATTAAGAGAAGCCTTGAAGAGGCTTTAATAGTTTTCACCTCTTCTCCCAAAACCACAGCCCAAATTTATGGGGTTACATTTGCTGTGGTATTCAAAAGGATTTTATCTCCTGAATCGCCTAACTTCACCCCTGGGGTCAATTTTAGTTGTTTCTTTTCCTCTCCCCATCCCATTTAGGTACATTCTAATGGACAGAGCCAACCTGAGTTAAAGGGGGAAGAGTGTCTTTGGCCCCAGGCTAAGATGGGCTTGTCACAGTTCCCGTTGAATAGGTAAGAACTAATATGTACTCTTAGCTAAGGAGCCATCTTCTTTTTCCTTCTTCTTAGGCAGTTCCTTATAATGGAGGGCTTCCAAAATGTCAAATCTAGGGCTACTTTCCCAGTTTGCAATATTCAAGGCATGGTTCTGATTTCCCATATCACTCCTAAGCTCTAAATGTTTGTTGTCAGCTATGAAACTGGATCTCCTACATACTGTGTGTGCCAGCCTAACTCTGATTTACCCAGAAACCAACCTAAGAGGGAAAATCAGAAGATATTAATGAAAATAATATTGAAAGTGGGCACACATCTCACTTAGGAACAAAATAGTAATTTTAGATCTAAAATGCTTTTAAAAGTCCTGTTTAAAGAACAATAGACCCAAGTAAAAATATTCAGAAAGAGCTCCCCAGAAGAACGGAATAAGAGTTTTTATGGTAATATTTCCCATCCCAATACCATATAAAAGACAGCAATTTTTCTGATGCTTTTTTTTCTTCCAATGGTACGTTTTTTAAAAGTACTTTTCTGTCAGGTTTAAACATTTTGAAGTGTCCCATTGACAAGAACATATTGTAAAACAAAAATCTAATTAAAGAGTAATATATGGTATATTTGTGTTCCTGTTGTAATAATTTGATAAGGAAATTTTTAGGGCAAAATTACACTGTTTAAATGTCACATTTGACATTGCTTCTAAGAGCTATGTAATTTTAAACTTTTAATTGCAGTCAACGAATATGAGGGATTTCTGAGTAAAAATCAATCAACGTTGCTGGAGTTTGAAATGTGATTTTTCAAGAGCAAATTGTGGAACATTGAGGTTTCATAGGTTTGTCATTTCTGAATTAAGGCTGTTACTATTTGCCAAACTTATATAATGCTTTATGTATCTTAGTGTCTTTTAGTTCTTGAACCTTAATTTCATATCAAAATTATAAAAATGTACATTTCCACAAAAGGGTTATAAACCAGTGTTTTCCACTGATCAACTTTGATATCTCTGGCATCAGTTTTCCTGATTAGTGGAGTCTTCTGATGAAATATTTTGTTTGATAGTTTTGAGCACCACAAGTGCTTATTTTAGAATATCATTTGGAAAGTTAATTGCAGTCATTATTATTTTCTTCTGGAACATCTACTGTGAAGTATTCAGAAAGCCCTAGAATTTAGTCTTTAAAATTCTTTGGCAGGATTAAAACAGAAGCTGGGCCTGTACTTCCTTAAAAACTTCCAGAAAGCAAAGCAATGTGTAGCCAGAAACAGAGGCAGGAGGAGAATGTGGTGGTGTGGCCCTGAGTGAGGACAGCAGGGCATGGCCAGTTTTTCTGTGAAGCTTTCACCATCAGAAGAAAATAGTCACTTCAAATAGGTTGATATGTTAATGTTCACAATATTGAGAGAATTTAAATATGTAATATACAATTATATATATTAAACTAAATATATTAAACTGGAGGTTAGCTGCAACTTATAAAGAATGGTTTGAGATTTACATGAACAAATGGTAACAGGAATTGTTGTTTATTGTAAATCGTTTCTTAAATCGGACTTTTTAAAGGAACTCTTTTGGATAGAAATTTAGGGGAATTTGCTTCCCAGAAAGATTTCATGCTGAACAAGCTAAAACTATCCCTTTCCAGTTTAGTTTGTTTAAAAAAAAAAAAAAATTGCAGGGAGCTCTTATTTTAAGCCGAGGGATAGACTTTTCAAAAGTGGAGTAATGGCTCCATTAAGAATTTGCCTGGGAAAACGTTTCTCAAAAGAATACAAGTTTTTCAAATTCCTGTTGACAAGGGCTCCATTTGCCCTACTGTCTATAATTACTTGTTGAAAAATGAGAAAAAAATGAGGAAGTCCAGTTTAAAGTTTGCATAGGGATTTTAGAAAATACTCAAAGGGGCCCTTAGATTATAAGTGGCATAGTTTTCTATTTCAGGTAGTTCCCAAATAAAAACGCTCTAAAGGTTCACTTGTATGTTGCATTTAAATATAGTAATATTTACCCTCATAAGTGATGCTGTGGGGGTTAACTTAGTTTGTCCCCCACAAAGCTTATTCAAACCATAGGGAGCCTGACAGGGTAACCTGTGGTACAAAACCAGATTGCTATACGGTATTCTGGACTTCAGGAAAAATATGTGGCAACTTTTCTCCCTACTGCACTCTGGTGGTGAGATCAGAGAATAAATTCTCCCTGCTTCTGCCAGGCAGTGGCCACTAAGACTCAGAAAGCAATTTAAGTCAGACTGGTCAGTGTTTCATGGGAAGACTTCACAGAAGTGAATATCCCAGCATTTGTTGCAGGAAGTTGAGTGGTATGTGGGTAAGGAACAGAACGGGCCTTATGATGAAGCAAGCAGGGATGCTGCCTATGAAACTGGTAAAGGATGGGCCAAGAAGGAAGTTTAAGGTCTGCATCACTCAGCTGAGGGGAGAGCAGTTTCAGGGTGAATATTACGTAAAGGGTATCTCCAGGTCACAGACAAGTAAAGCATGCCTGCACATCATTTTTCCAAAAATGTTTAAATTACATATGTGTATTTGAAAAAAGACTTAGTTTTCAAAATTCTGGAATACATCTAAACATTTTCCAACATTAATGGTTAAGAAGGGGATAGTAGCCATATATGCTTTAATGTATTATAAACAAGTACAAATGGATGACAAGACAGGAATAATTGTGTTTTAACTTATAACTGTAGAACTGCTAACAGTATGGCTGACATACTGTTCCAAATTTCTGAAAATTACTTACTAGCTAGATAAATGTTTTGATCACTATTCCTTAACTTCCACTAAATCATTTTGTGTTATATAAAACAAGACCATTAAAAATCCATAAAATCCCTTGGCTTTGAATCTACAATGTGGTGTACCTGCACTGGCTATAGCAGTACACAAGTCGCACGATTGCAATGTGTAAGCCTGCAATTTTAACTGAACTGGTAGGTGGTTTTTAAGCTGCAAAAAGACTACATACTTTAAGTTGTCAAATGTGAATACTACTGACATTTAAGTGTGCATGTGTATTTTAAATTTGTATTTTCTAAAAACTTGGTGAAACAAACATCTACAGTGTTCACTCTTAGGAACATATCTACACTGCCAAAGAAATTCAGAAGGTTGGATTAATATCTGGGTTAGCAAGAATGTGAATCTATTGAGCCTCAATTTTGAGGGTAGGTTGATGGGACTAGTACAGATTTAATAACTAGTTTTCTGTTTCCATCTGCTCATTCATCAGCTAAGAAAACTGAACAAATGGAGAATATAAACTAAATCACTTATTTTTCAAATATGCTAAGAGACTGTCCAAATTTTTTTATCCTGGAAGTTTATTAGAAATCACTTGAAATTAATGACTGAATGAGACAAATCTTTTGGTACTTAATATTTATTGAAATGTAATTTAATCTTAGAGTTAAGTGTCCTGAAAGGATTTTGGTAAGGTTTTATAGCTTTACTGGAATAATACCAGTGCAACCCTGGTTTAGTCCAACAAATAGCATGAAAAAAGTGAATATTCTCCAGAGGTGACAAATTTTAGAACAGATTTAACAAAAATGAGATTAAAAATACAAAACCTTTAAATCCATCTGAGTCAAAAAGGTAAAAGAAAAAAATGTAAGAAAAAATACTATAATTTGCAACCACTTGGTAGAGTTCTACTGGGAGTTTTGTTTGCATGGTTTGGTTTTTGTGGCACAATATAGAAATTGAGGAGATAGTTATTACGTAGGGATGATTCTTAAATGTTTTTGAAAAATCTGTTAATATGATCAATTTAGATCCTCTCCATATTAGGTTTTTAAAATTTCTATATTAAGGGTAAGCAGCTTAATTTCCAGTAGAATTGAGCTATTACATATTTATTAGCAGACTCAATTGCTAAGCAACACATTGAAAATGGGAGAAAAATTAAAAAATCTGTAATTATATTGAGACTTTTAAAAAACTCAGATATAGTCAAACCTTACTCAAAACATTGGCACTGGGCTCAATGAAGTATTTTTGCTTTTTACTGTATTCTCAAGTAATTCTTTACATTAAAATATAAGACAGATTTTTATCTTGCAGATGTTATTGTTACATGTTAAATGAATATTTTCTATGAAGTCATCTCAATGTTTTCATCTATTGTACTATTAAGAGGGGAAAATTTTGATTTATAACAGGGCTTTTTAGTGCAGATGAAGGAAGAATTACACTGTAACAAACCAGAAATTTGTTGTATATTTCTGTGTTGGTTTTGTTTGAAGCAATCCAAACTCTAACCGTAATAAATTTAGCAAAGCATAGTTTAAAAAATCTAAATAGCGAGTCTATTTAAATAAAAATTCCAAAAGAGGTTAATATAATTTAATATGCCTGACAAACCTAAAACCAAAATTTGGAGAAAATTTTATGTGAAATACATTTTCCTAGAAAGTTGCCCTATAATTCAAGCAATGCACTGGGAATTCTACTTTTCCAAACTGGTAGTATGAATACTTATCTAGCATTTTCTAGCTTAAAAAGCAGTTTTACGTGCCACTGTCTGATGGTCAATAATGTAAAAATGTATAATCAGAAACTTAATTCTAAATTTATTGGTTTGTAAAGGTGTGTACATTTAATGGGCAAAAAAGCTCAAATGGCTGAATGTAATATATGTGAAATGAATATATTTTTGCCATGAAAATAAATATTTGAAGCAAGATATGATTTCTGTGAATATAATAGTGCAATTAAAGCTATTTTGCCTCTTTTTTCACTGTAGATTTTATTGCATACAGGCATATAATTAAATGAGCCCTATTTCCCTATTGGATTATTTTTAATGATGTAATAGACAAATATTTTTTAGTAGTTGCCAATCTGTCATCATACATCTCCACAGTAATCAATCACTTAAGAGTTAGAATGCATCTTGCCAAAACAGCCAGCTTCATCAATCAAGATACTGGGGACCAATTAATACACTTGAATAAATATTTATGTACTTCCCAATAACTTCACAGTGGGTTGGCAGAGCTCCTCATGTGGCCATCCCTGTAGTGGAACTTACTACTAGTTGGGTGTGCACGTTATTCATCTTTTAGTGGGTTTGTTTTTGGCCCAGCAGTGGCGGCAGCATCTGGAATCTTGTTAGAAATACAAAATCTTGGGCCTTACCCGAGATCTGAAAATTCTGAGTCAGAAGCTAGGGGGATGGGCCCCAAAATTTGCCTCAACAAGTTTTCCAGGAGATTCTGGTACACACTAAAGTTTGAGAACTACTGCTTTAGTAAGTAAAAAGCCATTGATGTTTAATATGGATTCCAGTTTGGGATTCATTCAATTAATAGACACTAAAATTTGTTTATGCAATTTCTATTAGGTTAATGATATTTATAGCTGTGGTAGGTTGGATAATGGTCCCTTAAGAGATGTCCATGTCCTTCTCCCCTGAAGTTCTGTTATCTTACATGGCAAAGGGGACTCTTTAGATAGGATTAAAGATCGTGCAATGGGGATATTATCCTGGATTATCCAGGTGGGCCCTAAGTAATCACGGGGGTCTTTATAATTTATGAGAGATTTTAAGATGCTACATAGCTGGCCTGTGAGATGGAGGCAGAAGCCACAGTGAAAGAATGCAGCCACCTTCTAGAAGCTGGTAAAGGCAAGGAAACATTCTCCCCAAGAGCCTCCAGGAAGAATGCAGCCCCAGAAATACCTTAATTTTAGGACTTCTGACTTTCAGAACTGTAAGATAACTTTTTTTCTTTTTAAGTTTGTGATAACTTGTTATAGCAGCAATAGGAAACTAACACAACTCTATATATTCCTTTCTCAAGAAAAACTCGAAGGTCAACTCACCTGTCCTTAGGGTCTTGGAAGAACTAGGTGAACATGGAAGCCACACATCCAGGACTGCTAAGTGTTTTTGCCTCAAAATTCAAATGTTAGCACAAAACAGAAAGCCCACAGCAACAAGACTGGCCATGGAGCAAAACTTTCCTTACCGCAATCCAAAAGCGTCTTCCCCCAGTCTTGGAATTACACACAGAGATTTGCTCCTTTAGGACGTGCCATTCATTACTGGTTGCATCTGGCTGGCTACTGGGGAAAGTAACTTGTTAGGGCAGCATCTTTGAGCACTGGTGTGAATCAATTTAGCAGATTACTTTCCCACTACTACACCAGCACATAAAGTGTGAACGGGTGTTTCTACTTCTAGATGTAAATTATTTCAATTTTAATTTCTACAGACCTAAGACTTAAGCTAAAGCTAACGCTGGCATATTAAGGCAAAAGAAATCTTTTGATCATCTAGTCCAAGCTCTTTAAAACCAAGGTGCAGGATAAAGTAATTCATTGGCAACCATACAACTAATTAGTTCACTTGGCAAATTATAGTCTTGTCCCATAAAAGCTGCTCTGATCTTTTCTGATTGGCTTCACTGAGGAAAAAAAAAAATGTGACTTTTTAAAGGAAGCCATCTAAGGTGGATACTAATTTATATTTTATACTATTGAAAATGTGAGCAAATAAGGAAATTTTCATGTAACTTAGCAATTTGCTACATTAATCTTTCTACACTGGGGAATTTGCACTTTGTGTATAAGAGAAGATGAAACATCTGCCCTATTTTCCCTATAACTTTATCTGTAGCTAAACCTCCCCTTAAGCTCAAACTATCTTCCTCCATGAACGAATGCATTCGTGTCAAGCAGACAGTGACCTGGGTATCCAAAGAGAAATAGGTCCTTCCTCTTGAGAAGCTTACAGCCTAGAGTGGAGACAAATTGGGTAAAAAAAATTATAATTCATATTGTAGATAGAAAGGAGTCTGGATTCCAGACCCCAGAGCTGGGGTGGGAGGGGACACATGTTGGGACAGTCACCCAAGGTTTCACTGGAGCTGTTACATTCAATCTGGGTTACGAATGAAGGCTCAAGGGTACAGTGGAGGGGACATGATGTTCTGAGCAGACAGCAAGTGCAAAGATATGGAGAGGACGTCTGTGTGTTCAGGACAAGCAATTGGGAGTGACAGGGGATGCTTGGGAAAGGATGGCAAGAGATAAGCTGGGAAGGAAAATATGACTTTATAAAAAATGCCAAAAAGCCTGGCATTGTTATCTTGTTAGCAAGTGGAAACTCTCTAAGGTTTTTGTAAAGAGGGGAGTGGCGTGGTCTGTTTTAAAACATTAATAGCAGCCTGTGAGTATTTAATTATCATAAACCCATTTAATTCTTCCAACTCTGTGATGAAGACTGTAATTACTCCCGTTCAAGAGACAAGAAAGCACAAAGGTTCGGTAACCAGTTCAAGGTCACAGCTCATAAGGAATCAAACCCAGGCAGTCTGGCTCAAAAGGCACACTCTTACTCATCACACCTCTAAGCCTCAGAGTTGAGGATGGCCTGTTTGAAGAGTTTAAGCCAGTGTTTCCCAAACTTACCATTCACATTCCACCTTCAAACAACTTTTCCATATCCAAGAACCACTTTTAATATTTTTAAAAATCAACTCATCTTTTAAAGCTTAAATTTTAAGGGGAAACCAGAGGACAACAACATCAAAATGTCCTAACTGGTACCCAAGTTGGGTTGGGTCATGGCCCCCCAGAGACAAAAAGCTGTCCTAGAGTTAGAGCATAGAGAAGACTGGACATGTCAAAGCAGAGCAAAGTTTCTAGAATAATATTTGGGTTATTATTGTTTTTATCCTCCACAGTGCCTAGGCATGAAACTCTGTACATAACAGGCACTCATATTCAATTATATTAAATAGTAGAAAAGACATAATCAGACATGAATCTTCTGAGACACGTCCTAGTAGTAAGGGTCCCATTCGTGAACTACAAGGGTAAGGGAAGGGAGTCAGGCAGGTCTGATGGAATGTTTCACTCACAAGAAGAGACAGTATTTCACATAGCTGACAGACTGCCCTAGCTCATTGATAATTAGAAGATCCTTGAGGCTTCAGATATTGTGGAAAGTGAGAAAAAAGAAAGATACTGTAGATAAGGCACAATACTTCAAGACCCATACTAGATCACAAACCATTTCTAATTGCCTACGAAACCACTTATGTCTGGGTAAAATATGTCCCTCTGAAAAGCAACTTTACAAATTGTGACTGACAGGTCTTCAGGTGACCCCAGTGATTCCAGCCTTTTGGAATTCACACCCTTGTGTAAATATCCCCAGTGCTTAAGTGTGGGAGAGACCTGTGACTTGCTTCTAACCAAAAGAACATGGCAAGGGTGAAGGAAAGTTACTCTCTGTGATTATGTTACATTATATAAGACTCCATCTTGCTAGCAGAGTCTTCCTGGTTTTCTGGTGAGCCTTGAAGAAGCAAGCAGCCATGCTGCGACCTGCCTAAGGTGATAGCCAAGTGGCAGGGGAACTGCAGGCAGCCTCTCACCATCATCAGTCAGCAAGAAAAATGAAGCCATCAGATCTACAGCTGCTAGGAAAAGAATTTTGCCAACAACCTGAAAAGAGTTTGGAAGCAGGTTCTTCCCTACTGAAGCCTTTAGATGAGACCACAGCCCTGACCACTACTACCTTGATTGTGGTATTCAGGGCAGAAGACCCAACTAAGCTGTGCTTAGACTCCTGATCCACAGAAACTATGGGATAAATAATAAATGTGTGGTGTTGTAAGCTACTAAGTTTATGGTGATTTATTATGCAGCATAGAAAACTAATATATAAAAGAAATAGAAATCTTAATATATAAAAGAAAAAAAGAAAAGGCATATTGAGTTACTGACCATCTGAGGTATTTATTAATGAAGATCAAATATCCAAAGGGGAGTCCTCCACACTCCTTTCCATGATGTTAAGAGTTGGTAATCCCATGTCGTGATTATTGTCACCTTTGACACTGGAGAACTGAACAGATTCGGAGAGTGATGTGTTAAGACAACATAATTCATTTGAAGTCTCAACCTTTTCAGTATCACTATCACCTTCAATGACATTCACAGAAGTTTCCTGATCTATTAAACTGTCTGAAATACTTGGATTGTTTTCATCTGAAGTTGAAGGTTCAAGATTTGTTTCATCATTCACTTGTTGAATTATAACCCCTTCTGAACACTTTGATTTATAGACAGGCATGAAAAATTCATTTGGTGAAGAACAAATCTCGTTCTCATCCTTTGGTACAGACAATAACATATCCAAAGCCTTTTTGTATTCTTGACGTTCCTGTTGAATTGCTATTTCTTGCTCATCTTTAAGTTCTTTTTTTCCTGAATTCCCAGGCTTTTCAAAATCAAGTAAATTCAACACTTCAGCATCATTTAGCTTTACTGCGTTTTCCTCGGGTGTGCAGCCTAAGTCAACCTTTAGGACGTGCAGCAGGTGGCGCATTTTTTCCTAGGATTAAGAAACAGATGAGAATAATTATATTAATTAAACTAGTCAAATTGAATTACTGTCTGTACTGCCATGAATCTCATAGGATTAATACTGTCCCCTCTACTCCCC